AATGCGGTGAGATGGCGGTCAGATTTCTTTAGAGGAATTTGGAAGAACCCCGACACTAAATCAAAGCTGGAAAAGTATCGAGCACCTGCAGCAAGGTCTACAATGTTGGAAATTGTAGGTATAACATACGTTTGCTTGCGGGTGACGCTATTTAGTGCTCGAAAATCGGTGACGAGACGGAAAGTGTCGTCTTTCTTCTTTACTAATACGACTGGACTATTAAATAGGGCTGTAGAGGGCTCAATGATGCCTTGCTTTAGCATTTCTTCAATTTGCCTTTCCACTTCTTCTTGTTTGCCTAGTGGAATCTTATAAAAACGCGATTTAGGCATATCCATGTCAGTACGTAAAGGAATGGAATGCTGGACTGGACCAGTGAAGAGTCCTATATTACGATCTTCGTTGAGGAAAGCTACTTTGTTGGTTCTGATGACATGCTTGAGGTGCTGCTTCTGACGTTGTGTGAGATCAGCTTTACTAAGATCGAGATCATTCATGAAATCTTGAGGAAAAGATGGAAGCTGAGCTTCCCAATCAGCTTCAGATGGAACATATGTATCAATTTTTGCTCTATGGTTCCAACCTGGCAACTTCACGATCGAAGCCGATCCTATTCGTTCCATCGCCGGGATGAAGACTGGATCAGACGATGTGTTGACGAAGGCGACTCTGAGAGTCGGTGAAGGTTGAAAAGCTGTTGTCAAACAGCGAACTGATTGATCGGGTATGGCTTGAACGCAAAGCCATTCATTATCCTTGATTGGCTTTTCCACCTGTAATCGGAGATTGAGTGTTCCGTTTGGAGGAATCACGGCGGTCTCAAGATTGATTAGGTTAACAGCACTTTTGATTTTGGAGAAATATCGAGTAAGATTGGATCGATCTATGAATGGTGAGAAGTATGCTCCAATGATTAGCGTGTTCCGTGCTGAACGAAGATGGGTATGGATATTATGTTTATCCAACGTCTTCATGAAATCAAGTCCTAGCAAGGCAGGAGAAGGACAATGTTCATCTTGAGAGATGAGGAAATCATGTTTCACTGCGTATGACGCGATCTTAATAATTAATGTGATATGTCCAAGAAATTTGAATATAGAACCATTGGCAGTCGCAGCTGTCATTTTGCTTCGATGGTATTGAGTAATACCAAGATGAGCTAATGTTGATTCTCGGATATAAGAGACTGAAGATCCAGAATCCCACAAAGAGAGAACTAGCTTGTCATCGATGGTAATATAAATGAGAGGAAAATTGGATCGGTCAATAGAGAAATCAACATGGCGAATTAAAGGTATGACTACTGGTATATACGAAATAATCGCTGGATAGTACTGTTTCATGATAGAGCGTGGAATAGGCTGTGTAGTGTCTGTCACGATCTGACAGAGTTCCTCATAAGATGAAGGTTCTTGATTGGAGGATTGCCTTGAGGTATTAAGAGCTTGCCACGGATTTTGCCGTGGTTGTCTAGAACCGTTTTGATCTTGTTGTTGAAAGCGGTCGTTGTTGTACTTTGGATAGTTGTTTCTACCACGACGGGACGTGAATGGACGCAAAGCTCGTTGGACAGCGTTGAAGAGCATCTCTTGCGGGTCCGATGTTTGAGAGCAAATGGCTTCTTCTCCTCTGGCAAGTTCAATAGCATGTTGGAGAGTACGAGGTTGCTCTTGGAAAACTTGAGTTTGAAGAGAAGGTTTGAGACCTCGGATGAAAATGTCTCGTAATGCTGAATCTTTAGCTGAGTCTCCATGTTCATAGGCTGCATAACTCAACTGTCGCAATGCATGTGCGAAAGCTGTGACCGAAAGGTCGTCTTGAACAATATTATCAAGTTTCGATTTGGCAGGAGGGCGAGTATAAACCGGACAGATTTTGCTTGTCAAATGGTCTAGGATCAACTCCCATCCTCCAAATTTACGCATGTGTTTTGGTAGATCAGAATAGATATCATATGCATCTTGGTCTTTCAATACCATAGGAAGTATGGCAAGGCGTTCCGGAACGACCAGACCAAGAGCATTACAAAACATGTTGAATTTGTCAACAAAAGCGCGGAAACTTGTAGTGCCATCATAGAGAGGACAATAAGGAGAAGCTAAAGCAGCTGCTATAGTATTTTTACCAGCACCAGGTAAGCTCGTGGTTGGAATTACCGTGGTGTTGCTAGATTGCTTAACTATAGCATGAGGAAGAGCCGAAAGTGACTTGTTCTTTTTCATGACGGTGGGTTTATGGAAGAGATTAGGCCGCGAATGAGATGAGAGAGACGAAGGATTAGAAAAATGAGGAGGACAATTAAATTCGATAGGATTGTCAAATGAATCGGATGAAGTAGAAGGAACAACAGGTCAAGGTAAGTGAAAGCCCAAACGATTTATATTAACAGTATCGTTGTTGTTAGTGTTATCAATAGAATGGTTAGTAAGCGAAGCAATATTTGTTGAAGATTGGTTTGCTTGAATACAATCTTCAGAAGTCTTCAAACCAAAAAAACGCAGAATATGAAATGTTCGGGACTCGTTCTCTTTTGGAGCAGTCTTAGGCGAAAGAGATTGTTCAGATTCTGGCGAATGTGACTCAGTTGAAGTTTTATCCGAAAGAATCGATGAATTTGATGGTGTTCGAGTAAGCAAATTGTTAAAATCCGTTGCCTGTGGTGTTCCTGGTGATTCGATATCTGGTTGTCCTCAAATGTAGACAAAATAGGTGGTTCCGAATAGAATCCTGTTCAGTAGGAGTAGATGATTCGTTAGAATAAATAATAGAAGAAGGATCTAAGGAAAGTTCTCTCAAATTAAAATGGGTGGAATGAATAGTAACGTGCGGAATGATTTGAAGTGATGCGAAAGAAAGAGTTGAAAAGTTTGGTTGGATTTGTGCACTATTTCAGCGAGATTGAAATAGCAAACGATTTGGAAATGATGCTTAGAGAGGCTTATGTTCCTTATATAATCAGATGTAAGTACCGTAGTTAATATATTCATGATCCAAAGCTCGAGGGCTTTATGTGATTGATGAGTTGTCTATATGGAAGTAGCATATTTTGAAGAAATTCTCTGTTTCATAGATTCTAAATGATTGATGTATTGCAAGGCGATTTCAAAACGTATCATTATTTCATGTTCCCAAGAGGATTGTGATCTTTGGCATTGAGTATGGTAACGCAGCGGGGGTCGTGAAATATATAGTAGATATTCAGCTGTGATAACGCTGCGGGGTACGGCATGTGTCTCATCTGTCGCAACCTTATATAAACATTGAAAGATAATTAATAATTGGATGAGTGATAAGGTCATAATCAGGATATAAAAGGAACATAAGTTAACACATTGCTACTACATTTTAACAACTATTAAAGATGTCTCATTATCAATTCACATCATTCAATACTCCCACTCCAGAACCGGAGTTGGAGTTCGATTCGAGGCCTATGACCTCATCACCGTCTTTATCCTACCGTCGCGACTATGCGACCGCTAAATTCCAAGGTAGACCTATGCTCTACCGCATTTATCCAGAACTAGGCCGTTTATGCTGCCTTCAGGACGAAGTGAAGGACAGCAGCCGTCTGTTGCTGGAGAATGGAGAAGGACGCGGCCAGCGTTACCTGGAGCAGCTGAAGGAGCTGCAATTGCACTGCCACCGAGCAGCCAGAATCCATGAGGAGAATAACCTCATGGAGCAGCTAACCAAGTGGGAATTACCCACGGAAATCCCAGATCTCTGGGCCATTGCTGAAGAGGAGCAGCGCCGAGTCTGCTCGGCCTTGAAGGAGGAGCTGAAGGTGTTGGAGGAACGGGCCGCGCACGTGCGCCAAGTACTGGGAAGGTCAGCCAGGAGGACCTAGCGGAGAGGAGCAAGAAATAGGCCGATTCAGCCTGACTTCTTCTTTTTTTTCATGTTGTTTGTCATTCCTCATATTACTCCTTTTCAATAAATATTTTCACTCTCATTTCTGTTTTTCATCATAATAGCAACATGTATACATAGAAAGCGTAATACAAACATAGGAAGGTATTAGAGTGAAAAATAAAACATGAGAGGTTTTTACGGGTTTCAATTGTTCAACACTGATGGGCAGATGTTTCATGAACTTCGCTGCAAGAGTGAAAAAACTGCCCCCGCTATAAACTGGAATCGCCTCTGTTTCGAGGGCGAGGAAAGTGATCCTCAAAAAAAAGAGAGATGTTATAACAGAGAAGTTATCAGACTGGAAACAAAAAAAATGAGAGGGGGGTGCTGTGAGCAGAATAAATTCCTAACTTCCTGTATCTATCCTTATTCTATTCTGGCGTTCTGTTTGGCTTTCGTATGTAACGGAATAGTAAGAATAAGGGTCAGCATATCAGAGGAAAGATACAGGAAGTTAGGAATTTATTTTGCTCACAGCCCCCCCCCTCTCATTTTTTTTTGTTTCCAGTTCAATAACTTCTCTGTTTCGACATCTCTCTTTTTTTTGAGGATTTCTTTCCTCGCCCTCAAAACAGAGGCGATTCCAGTTGATAGCGGGGGCTGCTCTGGTTTCCTTTTGATGTTTTTAATGCTGAACAAGTTTCGAGATATTAAGCATTGTTATTATTATGTATGAAGCGACCTGTTGTACAACATTCAAGAACTACCTTGGCATTCAGACACTAATATTATTCAATCTATTGAGCTTTATTGTCGCATTTTGGGTATGTAGTTCCCAATTCTTGAGCATTTCACCCAGCTCAAAGTGGTGCTAGTTAAACCACGGTGAAATGGAAACTTCATTACGTCCGGTCACCTTATAGCCTCACAATACTTACTCATTCCACCTTTAAGGGTTCCGACATTTTAACTTGAAATGAAAAAATGATGTTTCTGTTACTGTTGTCCGGCTCATGAACACATATGAACGTTCAGTTACCTTACTTTTGCAGCGGAGTTCATGGAACATCTGCATATCAGTGTTGAACAATTGAAAACCTAAAAAATCTCTCATGTTCTATTTTTCACTTCAATACCTTCCTATGTATGTATTATTATATATATACATGTTGCTATTATGATGAAAAACAGAAATGAGAGTTAAAAACATTTATTGCATAAGGATTAACATAAGGAATGGATAACAAAGACGAAAACAAAAAAAAGTTTGGCTAAATAAGCCAATTTTTTGCTCTGTTAGATCACTTCTCCTTGCGCAGCTGCTCCAACACTTGGCGAGCATGAGCTGTTCGCTCTTCCAATCCCTTCAGTTCCTAATCCAATAATGAGCAGACTCTGCTCTGTTCTGCTCCGGCCACGGCGTGGAGCTCCGAAATTTACCTGTTTGATCAATGTACCTGTTTGCTTTCGGCTTCATACTGCTTGGTTGTATTGCTTGTGCCACTATGGTTGGATTGTGTTATCGTGTGGTGTGTATGTGTTGAAGTAGCGTATCAGTGAGAATTCTTCATTCACATCATATAACTTTCACATCTAAGTAATGAGATGGATTTACAAGATGTCGAATCGAAAGAAACGTTGATGAATACGGATGAAGAAGACCCAGCTAAGTTTCTTCTCAGACAAGGTTTTCTGATTATGTGATGACAGTTAGGTAACCCCCAGGATTCGAAAGTGCTCAACAGTAAGAAGTGACGAACTGAATTGTTTAATTTTTGACTAAACTGTCAGAAATCAAACCGCTAAGTCAACGATCATCAATGACCCGTTCTCGTCTGAGCCAAAATTATCGAAGTTGTCTGCTAGGTCTGATATGTTCATACAACTGCTCAGTGTGTTCAGCTTAGATATCCAAATATCATTTTCATCCACCAACTCATACCTCACGAAGCCTAGTACTGATATAACTATGTTTCTCTTAGTATTAATATTCGCAAACCATCTACTGCTCCAATGTAAAGCCCGAGGGCAGAAAAATGACCATTTGGGATTAAGAAG